TAGGGTTTCTGAGGCTTTACATCTTAGTGGGAGCAGAATATCTCAATTTTTCCCCATGATTTTCCATTATTAGTGGTTCAAGTTCAAAAATAATGAACTTAAAAAAATTTTTTTAATTCAAAAATAATGGTTCAAGAGCTGGTGTCTCCCAATTTATTAAAATATGGTACTATCCTACTCAGAGTCCTGGTGTGGTACTGTAGGATAAGTATTGGATTGCAAGGTTAGTTTAAAAGGCAAGGTTGGCAGTTCAAATTCATCAGCCACCCCTTGGAATCCCTACACAGAGCGGCTCCAAGCGACTCAAAGGCACTTAACAATAACAACATCCTTCCCACTCCATAGAATTTGAAACAAACGTTAAGAAATAAATTAAGTGCCCAGGCATAATACTCAGACTAAATAAATAATACAAGGCTAGCCAAACCTCAAACTCTGATGTGACTGATTCCAAAGTCTCTTTCAACTACAACTTACGTACAAACACAGAGACTTTGAACACAGTTAAGAATTTTCAGTACTCAGCACAGCTCAAAGATCAGCAACCTTGTGAGTTTAGTTGTAGGGAACCGGTGGTGTTGCCATGGCCTGAAGGGGACACTACATTTAAGTAGGTTAAAATCCCAGCAACCCTAAACTTTTAGCAATCTTCTGGGATCTGCTGACTCTGGGTGTAGGTCCCAACTTCCCTCTGAGTCTACATTCCAAAAGAGGGACAGTTCTAAGTCCATACCACCCTTCTGGATTCCAAGTGTGGCGCTGTAGATCAGCACTAGACTGCAAGCCACATGGTCAGCAGTTCAAACCCACCAGCTGCTCCTTGGAAACCTCATTCTGGGTCGCTCTGAGTCGGAACCGACTCGATGGCGCTTAACAACCACAACCCTTCTCAAAAGGAGCAGCCTCACTCCCAAAGTCCTTTCTTAGAAATGCGTCTCCTGTCTCACAACATAGAAACCCATGCTCCTAGCTGAACTGAATCTAGATCCACTCCTCGCTCCCAAATGGGACCATAGAGGGCACCTCCATGCTGCGACTCATCAAGTTTGCAGCATTCCGAGACCTGAGTCCTGGCTCACCACCTCCAACGCCCATTCGCCAGCAGCCTAAGCCCCTAAGTATAAGTAAGACACGCTCCCCATTCCCAACCTACTTACAGCAAAGCTTCCCACTCAACTGAGCCCCAGGCCAGGGTCTGGAACAGCGAAGCTCCCCGGTCCCCTCCCAGTTCCCGTAATGCTGGGCCACTGTGGCCGGAGTCAGGACTTTGGGCCCGACGGGCCAAGGAACCCGCGGAGAGGCCAAGAAAAGGCAGTCCGGGACAGACTCACCAAGGAAAAAGCGCTTCAGAAGGCGGGAAGCAGTGAGACCACTACTACCGGAGGCCATGGTCGCAGCGGCCGCAGCTAGAGCTGCGGTCATCCACCAATGACACTCCTAGGGCCCCGGGGACCTAGCAGGGGCCGAGGCATGAGAAGGAGGGTGTCTAATGCAATTGCCTGAACTAATTTTTATATGGAGGGTGGTTCTTACTTAGCATTTGGAATCACAGATGGAGATTTAAAAAGCATTTTAATGCAGGAGGATACAACAGCTTGTTTTTTTCCCTTGTAAGCGTGGGTTTGTTACGATAAGAATTATAACGGCAACTGAAGGAAAACCCCATGCAAGATAGGTTGGCGCGTAGCATTGTGGGACTTGTAGTTTCATGACCGCAATTTGCTTGCAATTTAAATTGGGACTTGCGCGAAGCGGAGAGATGTCGAGGTGCGTGAGGAAAAAGGAAAGCAGAATCTGAAGTTTAGTGCCAGAGCAGTACCACAGCTTTTCGTATCCTTAGACCAGTCTTCCTGTATCTTCTCTTTCCTAGTCTGACATATGTATAAAATAATTCAAGTGCTCGTCCCCGCCTACCCTTACCAGCAGCTGTGAGGATTCAGGAGGTTAATGGATGGCTACAGTGAAGTTCGGGGGTCTTGGTGCGGCGATGTAGTATATGCACTGAACTGCTACCCACAAGGTCAGTAGTTCAAATCCACACGCTGCGCATCAAACTCTATACAGAGTCGCTATGAGTCAGAACGGACTGATCGGCACTTTACAATCACAGTGGATCTGAACTAGTATTCTTGTCCGGTAAGGGGAAGAACCAGAAACTACCTTACTGGCAATTTCGTGGAATATGGATCGTCTCCTTAAGTAAACTATCTCTGACTATCTAGGCTTTGACTAGCTCTCAGTGTCTGAGTGCCTCGTCCCAGAGGATCCTGGAGGTCTGAAGTGTGACTTTGCTCCCTAACTGAACAAAGGGTTCCTTCCGTACGTGGTTAAGAAAGAACCTCAGAGAGTCCAGAGTGAAAGGGTAAAAGAAAATAACCCCCCTCTGCTGCCTCGAAACGTGCTCCTGGGATGTATCATCATTACCATCAATAAAATTATAATTCCAATTAATTTAGATAGTCATTAAAATTTGCACTGACCTGTGTAATGTATGAGTGGGATTGCCCACTATTTCCTCTATAACCCAGATATTCTCAGTCCAAAGTTGAACTTCTTGTTGCAGTTTTGGCTCATAGTGACCCTATCTATGCCCAACAGAACAAAACATTGTCCAATCCTGTGCTATCCTCGCAATAGTTTTTCAATTTGAGTCCCTTGCTGCTGGCACTGTGCCAATCCATCTCATTGTTGGGGGGAGGGGTCTCCCTCTTTTTCACTGAACCTCCACTTTACTTAGCATGATGTCCTTCTCCAGGGATTTGTCCCTACTGACAACATGTCCAAAGTATGAAAGACCAAGTCTCACTGTTCTTTCTTCTAAGGAGCATTCTGGTTGTACTTCTTCCAACACAGATTTGTTTGTTCTTCTAGCAGAAGATTAGATCTCCCTGATCCAATAGATTATGTGCTTGTGATAACTGAATCCTTCAGAGTAAACTAGTACTAGTGGTTCCAAACCCTAGCAACCCAGCATAGGGTTTCTGAGGCTGTAAATATTTATGGGAGCCTCATCTTTCTCCCA